CGGCTGGCATGAGAGTGGACTGAAACATATGTGAAAAAGAAAGAATCAATCAACAAACGGTATCAAAACTAAAGAGTTTAAAACTTACAAATATGAAAGCCGGAAATCTTTTAAAAAAAAAGACAACAATCATGATATTAAGATCGGAAAACATTCACATATCTACATTAAGAAGGTCAAAAATTATAAATGTATAGGACGGAAAAATTAAGAAAAAAACAATGAACGGAAAACTTTTGCGTCAAGGAGAAGCATGTCCACCAGTGCTTGACGTTTCTAGCTTCAAGAATCCCAGCAGCCTCAAATACTGGGAAGAACAGTGCAGGGCCTTCAAATCACTATAAATAACAGAAGAATTAGCTATAATACTGGAGATAAATTTTATAACTGTGATGACAATGTTGAAGTATTACCTATTTATAACTGGCGGAACACCCCCTCTTACAGTGATAAGTATCATTGAATGAAGGCGTAGTGATTGATATGCGTCGATTGAGTTAAGGAGATTAGTAAAAGCATTGAATCAAGACAACTTGAGGATTCATTAAGTGAAGACCAATCGACCGAAATGAAACATGACACATAGTTTCCTAACGACGCTTCATCTGTCTCGACATGCTGGATCTCCATTGCTAGGTCGTATTGGATCGAAGACGGTGAGAAGGAAGAAGAAGACTGAGCCCTACTTTCATTAGACGTCATTCGTTGGTTTCATTAGACTATGAGTTTGGTACGTGTTTTAAGTAAGAGTCCATGTTAAGCCCATCGAGAATGGCATAATCAAGCAAACAAAATCCCTTTCTACAAAACCACGTGTCAGTTCCACATTACCTTATTTGATGACATGGCTTAGGGAGAATGAGGGAAACCGTACTTTATATAATTAGATATTATATTAGTCAATAAAAATATTTTAAATGTTTATATATACAAAATTGGAGACAATAATAGTTTACGAATTTGATATAATTTTCAATACTAATCATTAGTCATCAACAATAGTTGGGTTTTCAAAAATATTAATATTACTCAACATAGTGACTGGACTTATATGTCAAATTATTTCTCTCAGTAACAAAATCAGAAAAGCACATTAACTGATTTTTTTTTAAACGAACGATAATTAAGAAATTATTATTAACTAATATTTTGAAAACCTAAAATATTAGCACTACTCTACGAAGTTATTGGGCTTACTAGTCCAAATTATTTGTCTCATCAACTCAAAAAAATCGGGATCAAAGCTGGGGAGTAGTAAGCGTCATTTGGGCTCAATTGGTCAGAAATAAAAAGTGGCCCATACCAAAACATATTAGATTACGATTTTGAGTTTGAATAGCGAGATACAGTAGAACCTCTTTAAATTAATATTCGGTAAATTAATATACACTAAATATCTCTATAAATTAATATAATTTTATAGTCCTAAATTGAGTTTTTGGTTCAATTAGTATATCTATAAATTAATATCTCTCTAAATTAATAAAAAAAATAAAATTTTGGTGTAGTCCCAACATTATTAATTTATAGAGATTTCACTGTAATATATTTTGACTGATCCTATTTTAGCCTTTTAGGTAGTTAATAGATATTTTCCCGTCCAATTGTGCGGTTGGCTAATTTTTGTATGCACATTCCTAAACAAAATCAGATACTTTTTATTAGAAAACCAATCAATTACATCAAGACGAATGACCAGCCTTTACAAATTAGGAACAACTTTGAAAGAGTTAGATTTCTTTTGGAACACCCAAAATAAATTGCATATAAAAATTCTTTTTATCAATAAATTAGATTGTCTGAGTATTTTTCTATTGTTCCTGGATGTCAATTGTCAAAAAGAGTGATAATTTGGAACACCAAAAGGAAGTTAGATTTAAAAATATTTGTTCTCTGTTTCCATAATTTATAGAGAATTATGCTAATTTAGAACAAAAAAACATGTCTCATGTCCCATTAGTATAAACTAACATCAACCTTGTCGATATAGTATAAATTTTTTAATAATTCCAAAATTAACCTTAAACTAACCTTAGATTAATCTAATTAAACATAACTTATATATTAATAAAATAAAGAAATCAATAAAAAACAATAATAAGGGAACAAAATCGGTTCCCGTAACCCTAATTTACAATTTATCCCCTTTTGTCTCTCTCTCTCTCTCTCTCGACAAGAACATAAGGAGACGGGAAGGAGATTGTGTCTTCTCCAGTGAAATCAACTGATAGATCATCAGTTTTAAGGCAATCAAGTGTTCTCTCGGCTCTCTATGCCTCTCGACGACTCTCCGATTCTCTACCCCTCTTATCCCCTCCGGTTTCTGGTGGTTTCTTCCGCCTCTGCTTCTCTCCTCCGCCTCCGCTTCTCTCCTCCGCCTCCGCTTCTCTCCTCCGCCTTCGGTTCTCTCATCTCGTTCTCTTGTTCTCTCCTCCGCCTCCGCTTCGCTGCTACGATTCTCGGGTTTTCTTCTCCACCTCGAAAAGAAGAACCTTTCTACTGGTATCTCATCAGGTTGATAATCCTAGACAACCTTATATCTTTGCATGCTTCTAAAATGATTAGGGTTTTTGTTGCTATGTTTTGTGTTCCTCGAGTTCCTCTTTGCATGTTCGAATTATGGTAAGAATAATAGTGTTATAATCGTATTTATGAACCCATTAAGTGAATCGAGTCAAGTAATCGGGTTTTTGATTTGACTAAGTTTGATAGATGATTATATTTTTTATTTCTGAATATAATTTTGTTTGTTATGAATTGATGAATTTTGGACTCTCCTCTGAACCGTTTGACTACTTGATTTCATTAAAATTTCTTAAATTGTTGGCTTTCTCGTATTCTCTGTTTTGTTTGTTTACTGTCAAAATTGTAGAACTAATATCGTTTGTTTTGCAGTTTGGTTGAAGTGATTTCGTTTGTCTTAGTCTTTGTCTTTGTTTCGTTAGTCTTAGTCTCTGTTTCACTCTTAGGTAGTTTCTTTGACTAGGATCAACATGAATCAAATTTGTTCTTTTTTATTTTGTTTTGTGATATAGGTCTTTTACTGATTTTGTTTCAGTCTTGTTTCACTCTTGAGTTATTTTTTTAATTTGAAGAAATTTCATTATACTAAAAGTTATGTTTTGTCTTTTGTAGGTATGGAACTGGACCTACCTAAACGTTTGTATGGAGAGGGGCTCGAACCTCAAGTTAAGAAGATCAACAACAGCTGCCGGATAGAACTGCTCGAGGATCTGAAGAATGCTATGCCTGCCGAATATGATGATGTGAAGGCTGATCCTGTTTTCAAACACATCATGGCTATTGAGGAAAACCGGCTCAAATTTTCTGGGAAACTGGTGCATAGCTTCTTGTGTAGGGAGATCATTACCTCGAAGAGACATGAGAAGTGGTTTGCCTTTGCGAGGAGGCCTCTCTGGTTTTCCCTTCAGGAGTATCATGCTGTGACCGGTCTCAAGATTTCACAGGACAGTGGCAGCGATGTAGTTAATTGGAAATATGACGGGGGTTTTTGGAGTAACATACTAAGGAGTGGTGGGAAGTGTGGGAAGATTACGTTGAAGTCGATCAGGAAAACTCATATAGAAGAAGTTCACAAGTGGACTCGGGTTGATAGGTTATGGCTGATTTACTTGTGTGTGATCATGGGTGTGGTGATGGGGAAAGATGAGAAGGTGAACATCCCTCATCTGTACATTAAGCTGGTGATGGATCTGGACAAGGTTCGCAAATTTCATTGGGATCTTCACTCCTTTGACTTCTTGTTGCAGTCGATTGACAAGACCAGGAAGAAGCTGAGTAACAAGGAGAGCTACATTTTAGAGGGTTTCACCTACGCTTTTCAGATATGGATCATGGAAGCAGTTCCTGATTTTGGAGAAATATTAGGCACAAGAATCAGTGAGAACTTCAGAGGTCCAAGGTGTGCCAATTGGAAAGGAGCTGCGAAGGTTTCTTATGAAGACATCATTCAGATTGAGAACTTATTTCCTCAGGAGGTATGTACATTTGTTCTTGCCTTCTTCATGATTTTGAATAGCTGTTGATGTTATAATTGTTTTGCAGGGTCAGTTGTTCTCGGTCATCTCATTCAGTGGTAGAAGTGATGTGTTTCTGTCTGATGAGTATTCAAGAACGTGTGAGATGCGAGATGAACGAGTGGACCTTATTCTGGATAGGATCAAGGAGAAGTTTGATTGGAGCAACACCGAATGGGAAGCTTTAGAATCTGAAGAGATTGGAATGGAGGAGGCTGAGAAAAATGATGTTGAGAATGAGGCTGATGAGCAGACAGTTGGTGCTGATGTTGCACATGAGGGGGAGAGTTCTTCAGTTAATGGTGCAAGTAAAGGGAAGAGAAAAATTCATGATGAAGGAGCCGAGACAAGAAAGAAGAAGTTGTTGTGCAAGCGATCTGCAGAAAAAAAAATGGATCTTGATCCGGAAACTAAGCGTTTCATTGAGACTCTCGTCAACTCAGCTGCGACTTCTTTGGGAGATAGAATTAGTATGCAACTTGCCAGGATGGATACTGATTTTTCAGAGAGGATGGAGATGGTAGAGATTGAGGTTGCACAGCTCAGGGCTGAACAAGCTTCATCTAAAAACAAAGCTGAACAAGCTCCACAGAAGAGCAAAGACGATGAAGCTACAGCTAAGACCAAAGCTAATGAGGCTACAGCTAAGATCAAAGCCGCTGAAGCTACATCTAAGACCAAAGACCATCAACCACCTAAGAGCAAAGACGATGAAGCTACAGCTAAGACCAAAGCTAATGAGGCTACAGCTAAGATCAAAGCCGCTGAAGCTACATCTAAGACCAAAGACCATCAACCACCTAAGAGCAAAGTCGATCAAGCTGCAGCAAAGAAAAAGGTACTACCTAAGCGAAAGTGTAGAGCTTGATGTACCTGGAACTAGGATGCTTGAGTTAGGATGCTGGAGCTAGGTTTTTGGAGTTAGGTTGAACTAGTTTGTGTACATCGGATGTGTAATATGCTATGGAACTAGTGTGTGTAATATCAGATATGTAATATGCTATAAAACTAGTGTGTGTAAAATCGGATATGTAATATGCTATGGAACCTATTTTTGTAAAATCGGATATGTAATTTTCTTTGACTGTGAAATATAAACTTAATGAATATAATGATTTGTTTCTTAAAAGATTGAATGACTTCTTATATGTTTTATTTTGTTTTAATGAATAGGATGGGAAAAAGATTGCTTTAGAAACTAATGATTATGATTTTGGATTGAGTACACAAGATATGGAAAACCTTTCCCAAGATACATTTGTACATGGTTTTGATCTTTCTCAAGTCAAAGTCGAAAAACCAAGGAAATCACGATCCAGAAAGACGTCCACACTTAACTTACGTGATGAGCAGATACATCGAACCGGAGAAGCATCACCGGATGCCGCATTGGTGTATATCCGTGAAGAGGATTGGGAAAAAGTAAGAAATTGGTCAACTTATGCCACGTAAGTAAATTCTCATTTTTGTATCATCTAATGTTTCATTTTAATCAAAATGTATACTACAAATTTTAGCTTGTTTTTTGTTTCTGTTTTGGTTTCGCTTTCAGACCGCTACAGATTGGACCTGCAAAATTAGACAGTCAGATGGCTGCTCTTCTTATAACTAAAACTGAGTGGCTTGCTAACTCGGTAAACCTATAGACTATTACCTTCCATTTGTCTTTTATATACCTTGTGTTTGTTAACACTTGTTATTTATGCAGGAGATTGATGCCACAATGTATGTATTCCGTGAGAGAACAACTCTGAGACGATGGAAACCTCATCGTGTGGCTTTCATGACTGTTGTCTTCAGCAATATGATCAAAAAGGAGTACGAGTGTTGGAAACGAGGAAAAGATCATACAGTCTTCACAATTTGTTACTGCAGTTCGGCAAAGGGGTCATTCCACCAAATGGTAGAACAAACGAGATATGGAATGTAGATGTGGATCGGCTGTATGTCCCTGTTCATGTCGGTGGGATTCATTGGATCGCTTTGTGCATATATTTCCAAACCAGGCACATTGAGGTGTTTGACTGCTCTGGTGTAAAAAGGTATAGGGAGGTGGATGGGTTCACGAACCTTGTTCCACGTATTGTGAAGGCGGTTCAGCCAGCGATATACCAGAAAGATTTCACAGTAAGTCCGTATACGGTAACGTATGTCCCAATGGAGAGTCTAAATGCAGGTGCTTGTGATTGTGGTTTTATGCACTCAAGTTCATTGAGTGCCATGTTCTTGGATTGGATTTGTCGTTAGTGAATGATGATAACATCAAAGAAGCACGCCTTAAAGTTTTGTGGGATCTTTGAGAAGATGTCAAAGTATGAAGTTCCTGAGTGTTTGTCTTTGACTTATGAGGAGATTCTGTGATGTAATAGTTATGTTCATCCTTCTATTTTGTATGGTTTTTAATTAGGACTTTTATGATTGTAGAATGCCTAAACTAGAAAGTATGCTTATTGTAAGGTAATTGTTTTGTGGATTTTTATGATTATGATTTCTAAGGAACAAATTTCTAAAACGAAGAGAAAACATACCCTAAACTACAAGAAAACTAAATGAGACCCTAAACATACCCTAAACTTGAAGAAAACTAATCGAGACCCTAAACATACCCTAAACACACCCTAAACTACAAGAAAACTAATCGAGACCCTAAACATACCCTAAATTAAGTGAAACCCTAAACTAATTTAAATATATATATTCTTCCATTTAAATATGTTTATTTCATTTTAGTTTATGGTATATAATATGATCAATCTTATTTCGTTTTATGGTATATAATATGATCAATCTTATTTCGTTTTATGGTACATGATAAGAGAAATGTTGTTAATATTTTTATGAAAATATGTCTATATAATTATATTATTAAACTAGATATTAACATAAAATGACATATATATTGTGGATAAACTAATTGAGACCCTAAACATACCCTAAACTAAGTGAGACCCTAAACATAAAAAGTACCAACATATAAAATACCTTCACTAAAGTAATCTGAACATTAGTTTATGGTATTACATCACAGCCATATAAAACCGACTTATAGATCTAACACAGCCATATAAATCCACCCATATTAGATCCAGAAGTAACTTAAATACCCGACATATAAATATAAAAAAACCCGTAATTCTCACTTTTTCTCGTAGCAGTTTCTTTGCGCCTCTCTCCATTTTCTCCATGAGTAACGGAAGGCGATTTTTGCAGGGAATTCCGTCAAGGTGCTGGTGTGGGAGAGGGGTTGTGATATTCTACTCAAGAACTTCTGAGAATCCATGCCGAAGGTTCTATAGATGCAAAATAGGAGCACAGGTTCATCGTTTCAACTTGATTTCTGATTGAAATGCGGATTTGTTATGTCTACACATCCTCTATTAGTTTTGTTGCAGAGTTCTTTTGTATCTTTGATGATTTTTGACTTATTAGATTAGGACTTCAATGAACTTGGTTACGATTTGTACTCACATGAATTTCATTTCTGATTGAAATGCGGATTTGTTTTGTCTACGCAGCCTCTTTTAGTTTTGTTCAAGAGTTCTTTTGTATCTTTGATGTTTTCGTCTTATTAGATTGCGAATTTGTTTTGCTTATATACTCACATGAACTTGGTTTTGATGCAGCGAAAGAAAGAAAACCATTTATTTAAGTGGGTTGATGAATCTTTGCTTGATGAGATTCGAAGGGTAGAGGCTCAGCAATTGGGAATTACACAAGAGATTGAAGATCTCAAAAAGAGTTTGAAAATGACAGTGGAAGAGGAAGTTAAGAAGCAGAAAAAATCATTTGAAGTAGGTTGTTTAGGAAGCATTCTATGGCTTTTAGGTTACTTTAGAAGCCAAGAATAAAATCAGTCTACTGTTTCTTTCTGTTATTATGATTATGATGGTTTTGTTTGGTTTTTATAGTTTTGTTCTTAAGATGAATATGATGAATACAACAATATGTCGATTGTGTGCTTCTTTGTGTTATGTTTGGTTTAGTTATGTTCAAACATATGGAACTTTAAACATCTTTGCAAATCAAATGAAAAACATGATCATAATGTATGACAATGTCGATGAAAACAAATTTCAAACAATTTAGAACAAAATGTATGTGAAACAGAGTTGTAATGACAAAGCAAAAAACACATGTAAAATCGAGCTTTGAACTTGAATACCAACAGGTGCACACTTGAACTTGAATCCTGTTACAGAAAATAGTATGTGAAACAGAGTTGTAATGACAAAGCAAAAAACACATGTAAAATCGAGTCTTTCACCCTTACCATTTGTGGAAGACTAGATTGGTACTCTACAAGTTGCTCTATTGTGCCCACTTATACCACATCTACTACACTTTCGAGGCTGCCTCTCTTGTGATGTTTGCGAAGACCGAATTTTATCTTCAACGGTTTCGTATCTGCGTTTTCTTGTCTTTCCAGCTGCTTTTCTTGTGTCTGGTGGTAGCACGTTCACTTTCTTAACATCATCTGGAATGGACCAAGCATCCTCAGGAACAGCAATAGGATTTATGCTTTCCTGATAAGCTTCTCTCCAAGCTCCTGTCGTGTACATCAAATCAGTCAATGTGTGTGGATCTCTGCCAACATGAAAACCAGCTTTAATTGCGTGCCTACAAGGGATCTTCATCAGGTCGTACTTCCCGCATGAACAACTCCGTCTATCCAAATCAANGATAAGCTTCTCTCCAAGCTCCTGTCGTGTACATCAAATCAGTCAATGTGTGTGGATCTCTGCCAACATGAAAACCAGCTTTAATTGCGTGCCTACAAGGGATCTTCATCAGGTCGTACTTCCCGCATGAACAACTCCGTCTATCCAAATCAACTAAGCAGTCAAATATATCACCTCTAACAAGCAAGCGACCTTCGGTTACAGGGTAAACTGCAAATGTTCGGCCTTTCCTTGTTCTCCTCTCAATCTTTTTCTCAAAATATTTGGTCAGACCATGTTTATGCTTTGAAATCAGTTTCTTACGCTTATAAAACCACCGTGTCAACATTTCTCTGATACTGTCCAACAAAGGAATTACTGGATATTCTCTCGGAGAACGCAGAGCAGAGTTGATAGATTCAGCAGGGTTGGTTGTCCTTATGTCATATCTGTATCCAGGAAATTTACATCGAGCCCATTTGTTCACATCGGAAGCCCTTAGGTAATTACCAATTGCTGGACTGATATTACACACATCAGAAAATGGCTTTTCAAAGTCAACAACTCTATAAGCCTTGGACGCTTTTGAAACTAACCCAACCAGTCCTTTGCCATGGTAACCAGTTACCACATTATTCAACAAATGATGAATACAAATACCATGTATTGCCTTTGGATACACCTTCTCAAGTGCCTTAACAATGGACCCATGTCTATCCGAAACGAAAGCCAAATGATGATCATCAGAAATGACAACCTTTAGTTGTGTCATAAACCATTCCCAAGAATGATCATTCTCTGAGTCAACTACTCCAAATGCAATAGGATACAAATTAGAATTTCCGTCTACAGCAGTTGCAACCAATAGAACTCCTTTGTATTTGTTTTTCAAAAAAGTTCCATCAACCACAATAACACGCCTCATGACTCTGTTAAATCCTCGTATCGATTGCCCAAATGAAATAAACATAAACAGAAATCTTCCATTGCTGTCAATCTTGTATGCTGAATGTGTACCTGGATTAGCCTCTCTCAGCATGTGCAAGTAATTTGGTAGTTTCCCATAACTCCTCTCTGGGATACCTCTAATTGCATTAACCGCATATCACGTGCATCATATGCTAAAGAATTTGAGATCTCACATCCATGATCATTACGCATAATCTCTATGATATCATTTGTCTTTGGCCCTTCCTTGACGCCTTCATACTTATGCATAATCAGACCACCTATAGTTTTCGCTGAAGCAGTCTTACCCCCTTTGGTTTTGCTTGAAGGTGCACATGTATGTTCACCAACGTACTTGTTGATGATGAAATATGTAGATTCCTTCAAACTCTCAGCTCGAACAGACCAATTGCAACCATTATCTCCGCATCTAACATACCAAACTTTTCTATCTGATTTTATTACCTTATATTCAAAGCNCACATGTATGTTCACCAACGTACTTGTTGATGATGAAATATGTAGATTCCTTCAAACTCTCAGCTCGAACAGACCAATTGCAACCATTATCTCCGCATCTAACATACCAAACTTTTCTATCTGATTTTATTACCTTATATTCAAAGCTATGCTTCATTGCACATATCTCAAAGGTCGCCTTCAGCAAAGTTTTGTCCTTAAATAGTTGTCCCTTCTTAACAACATCGAGCAAAGAATACTTGTCCTGTTTGTGTTGCTTCTCTTTCTCAGAGATCATAGTAACAACATCATTGGCATCCTCATCAGAGTCTAGTTCTTTCATCTTTTCTTTCTTATTTTTGCTTTGCGTATCAGCAAAAATATCAGCGGAGTTGTCCTCTCTGTTGAACGAGTTATCCTCTTCTTTTGGCGACTTGTTAAGATCAAACTCTGCTTCATTCAGATTCTCATTCTTGGCTTTATTTGTTACACACAATCGAGTGGAGGCATTGTTTTTAACAAAACCAACAAAATTCTTAAGCTGTCGATCGTTTGCAATGATCACTGGTGGACAAGTTGAT